GGAAGGTGGGTTGAAAGAGTGGGCCTTAACGGTGTGGATGCAAAACGTTTGCGACTTGTCCGTCGCCTTTTCAGTCTTAGGAGCTGTGGCCTGGCTGCTGCACCAGTCTGCATGGCTCTGCTCTAGACCGGTCGGCCCAGTGTGAGGTTCTCCCGGGTCGCCGGGTTGATATGCAGTCGCTTCCTACAGTCCCTCAGGGCGTCCTTATATCGTTGTATTCATCCTCTTTTTCGGCGAGCACCCGTAACGAAATCTCCGTAGAAGAGTCGTTTTGTTAAGTGGTCGTTGTCCATGCTCACTAGATTGCCACACCTTCGCAGCTGTACTTACCGCAAAATGGGGTAGATGACAGAATATTCCGATTGGTTCCAGCACCTCCGTGTCGCGGATGCTGTCCTGCTATCTCTGTTAGGGGGAGCCTAACGGACAGTTAGCAGGCAGCTTGCATGCAACAGCGAGCCGCACTCACGGTAGGCTATCGACCGGCAGTCAAGCAATCAATAATTTAAAATTTAAGCTGCAACCAGCCGCTGAGTCACAAGCTAATCGTGTCGCTACTCACGCTTTAGTATTATGCAGAAACTGCTGAGGAAGAAATGATTCAGCGTCTTGGCTTGGATGGCGTAGATTATCAAGGTTTTCGCTTCGGATAGGACTGTCGGCAAGACGCCGACCTTGTACAAATTCAGTTTGTTGTTCAGGTGAACATGGTGACGATTTTGTCGTGACTAGCTCAAGCCGAAGTACACTTTCGAAAGGCCCGCTGTTTCCGGTCTCCGTAACAGCCAATCACAGACCGACTCACACAGGACCTTATTTGAAGCCTGTCGAGCAGACCTCATTTCAGACGCCGTCCGCTGGCTTGCGGTTGAGCGGTCGTCTGATAGTCAATTTCCTACTGCCTTTATTCTGAACCGAATATACTCTTCTTATTACTCTGGCCTTCCCACGACCTCTCGCTTCTCCTAAGGAACCTGGCCTGGAAGATCGCAGCCGTTAGGATTAACCTTCTTAGTCTTAACACAACACGATAATTCCATACAGAGGCTTGCGGCTGGCCGAAGGTCTCGCTGACTTTGGAGATCCGTTGAGCAACTTTGTCGCCGACTCTCGTGTTGCTCGACAGTGAGCATCGAAGACAGGCGGAGTTATCCACACTCTTGTATTCGGTGCCATTGACATTGATTCGAGGAGTATTATATTCCGCTCTTGGTGAAGGTTGCTACATGAACACCGCATTGTCCGTGTTGATTATTAGTCCAGAAATGGCGCAGTCGGCGTCGAAGATTCTCGTGTTGCTTTGCATATCCTCATCTGTTGCGATTTTGAGTGAACAGTCGTCCACGAACAGCAGGTCGCACACCGTAGTCGTAAACACACGCATTGGGGCCTGTATACGCTGGTTGTTGGGACAATGCCCATCATTTCTGTAGGCGATGCTGATCCGGAGACGCAGATAACGGTAGGCATGCTATCAGCACGGCAGAGGACACAAAACTGAAGAGGTTAGAAGCCAGTACGCAGCTCTGCTTCATTCCATTGGGCACTGCAAGGGCTTCGGCAACCGTATCGGAGCTAAGGCTAAGATGGTTAACCCTAAGAGCTACGATCTTCCAGGCAAGATTCCTTAGGAGAGGAGAGTAGTCTTGGGAAGGCCAGTGTAGTAGGAAAAATATATTGTTTACAGAAGAGTTAGGGTAAAGTTGCCACTCCGTCCGGCATGGCGTTCGGTCGCGAGAGACAGTGCAGAAATTGACCGAGGACCGAAAAACTTTTCAGGAAGCTGATTGGTCCAGAGCGCTTCGGGACGCTGGTTGGACTGCGCG